AAAGGGTCCTTAAGCAACTTCAAATTATTTTTTAATTTTTCTTTTGTTTTGCTTTGTAATTTTTTATTTTTAGCTTTTTATGCTTTTGCTTAGCTTAGCTTGCTTGCTTCTTTGCTTTAAAATTCTTTTGCTTCACTTCTCTTGGCTCAATGCACCTATCCAATCAAGAACAAACACAATAACTAAACAAAGTACAATGAAATAAAAACACGATCAAAAGAGTACTAATTCCTAATTGTTCCCAAAATACGGCGTTGCCAAATCCCCGGCAACGGCGCCAAAACTTGGTATGGTTAATACCTAGTTGCACAAAAGTGTGTAGTGTGGCCAAGTTTAAATTTATAGAATGTCACTATCACTACTAACTAAAATATAGCAAGAGTGAGTAGGGATCATCCCAAGGGAAAAGAACAGTATTTTGGGAATCAATGATGGAGTAGTAGGTCGAATGATTAAAAGATGGTTTTGATTTGATTAAACTATTGGTTTAATTAAAACAATGCAATTAAATGACAATCTAGAAATTAGGGAAAGATATATGAGAGGAAGGTCTTGAGGCTTAGAGTTCATCACTAAGCTTCACTTCACCAAACACTAGCAATTGTATATTAATGGGGAAATTCAAGTTGTAATATGTGTGTGTGTGACACCAATTGAAAACAAAGCATAATGGATGGCAAATAAGCATAGATTATCCAGTGAATTGATAAGCATCAAATATTGCATATTTAAGCGCCCTTAATTGCATTAGTTAAGCCCATCATTTGATCTGTGTATATAGATTAACTCCATTTTTATATTTTTATGTTTTTGCAGGTCTAATTGCAAAAAAGGAATAAAAATAAGGTTTTAAGGGTTTTTGGAGCATAAGGCATATCGGGCCAAAATATCAAGTGGTTTTCAAGAAAAAATGGCCCAAACAGGCGATGGATATAACCAGCACTGTAGAAGAAAAGAATAAGCCAAGTAGTGAGCTTGGTGTCTGGACGTAGGAACTGGCGTCCGGACGCCAACTAGCAGGGCCTCACGTCCGAATGCCATACTTCACGTCCGGACGTAAGGTTACGGGCCTCCATTTTGAATTAGTCAGATTATGTTCCATCTTAAGTGGAAATTTGAATTTCAACAAGTTGTTTGTTTTTTAAACTCATCTGAGGATTAAGAGGGGCAGAGGCTTGAATCAAATCAGTTAGTTTTGGTTTTGAAAAATATATTGTGGGGGAGAGGATTTTCCTTAGGGTTCTTATACTGAGTTTTGCAACAATGGGGGAAAAAGGGAATTCCTTCTCTTCTTCAATCCTTGAGGTTGCTGCCATATCCATGAGAGGCTAACTTCCTTTCTAGAGAGTTGATGTAACCTAAACCAAGTAAACATGTATTAATTTGTATTTCAATTTGGGGATTCTTCTTGTATATATTCAGTTCCATAAATTAGAAGTATTTACATTGAATTGATGTATTTTACATTGAATTAATGTATGTGATTATCATTTGAATATATAATTATGTTGATTTGTTTATCTTGTCTTAGAAATCACATTGACACAATTATACACTTGATTTCCTATAGTAACAATGGGAAAGAATTTATAAAATGGTTATATTGGCATGTAATTAAGTATTTTTATAGATTATACTTAAGGAAGATGAACCATACTATACCTTTAGATTAATGTAGTTAGGTAGATGGTCCATACCAACTGAAGATAATTTATGATATTTAATTAATTTCATATGCTGCAACATACCATTAAAGAACCTTGATAGGCCATCCCTTGGGAAGATGGTTCATACCACAACCTAGTTTAGGTGGATGAACTATGCCAACCAAAGATAGGCTATGCTTAGTCCTGAAATGTATGATCTTCTTGAAGATGTTGTGGTAGTTTTATACTTCTACACATCATTTTATATATATAATTGTTTATTCCCAAGTTGAGTGCAAGTTAACATATTTATGAGGTTGAGGTGAAGTCAATTCCCTAACCTTTTCTTTATAAGTTCAATCCATTCTATTCAAATTATTTACTGTTTTATGCAATTTAAATTCATAGGTTAAATGACAAACTAATCGAACTATCATCTCTTTTATCAACTAGAAAGTAATTTTACAATTCTGTTTGCCATAAACTAGCAATCCTTATGGTTCGACAACCCCCTAATATAGCATTAATCTACAATGATGAATGTGCTATTATTATAAGTGGTATTTTTAAGTGGTACACATTTGTACGTATCATCAATCTAGTGAATAGCACAACCTATTAAATGAGACCAATAATCATTCAATTAAAACATAATTAGTGCACACACAATAATCTAGACAAATGTACTCCTTGCACTCATAAGTATGGAACATCAAATAACAAGAATGGATTGTCCACCTATCTAAGAAATTAAAACAATTACACTACAACTAAGCTAGTAACATGAAAATAAAACTAATTAGACTAAGGATGTGGTACAATTCATCAAGAAATAAGTATGAACCATCAAATAAACCACAAAAGTATTCAATTAAGCACCATGCCTTGACCATCACTAGATTAACAATATCAACACACATAGACATGCATCAATTTCATTAAATATAGAGAAAAATACACAAACATTCATTCTAGCATATATAGACAGATGAGTAGAACTAAATGATCAATTGAAAGCATTAATCCATACAAATCAAGTAAAAATCACAAGATCTATATTTGTTCATGGTCAAAACATCTATTACAACTAAAATTTCCAAAAATACATAAGAGCTAGGTTTAGGAAGCAAGCTTAGGGGCTATCTCTAGCCCCAAGAGAAGGATTTAGCCACTCATTGTAGTGGTTATGGAACTCTCAAGGGCTAGCTTGAAGGTTGGCATCATCATCTTCATCCTTGCTTTCTTCCCAAAACCCTAGTCTAAAGAAAGAAATTATTTCTACAATATAGTAAGATAGAACTCTATGATATTCCTTACAATAATGTTCAATTCATTCATTATAAGCCTATTTGAGTAGGCACTAAGTCAGGAATACAACCTATGATTGGAGGAAATTCGCAGCTACACAAGTTAGGTAGAGTCCGGCGACCTCGGGAATTAGACAGCACACTGCCAGCAGTGCTCTCGATCGATCGAAGATTTTCGATCGATCAAACACTTAGCTTCGATCGATCGAAGCTAACGTGTCTTAATAATATCTTCGTGGTCCTATTCACTTTGCTGAGATGGCACCGCCTCATCTCGATCAATTGTAGCCTGACTTCGATCGATTGGGACTTCCTTCGATTGATCGAAGTCCCTCTAGTGCAATTTTCTTGGCTTCTTTCCAACTTTGCTCCTTACCTCCAAAATTGAGCTAAATGACTATTATTAGCCTGTTTGAACTTTATTGACTTGAAATAGGCAAAAACATAAATAAGTACTAAGACATGAAAGTAAGATAGATGAATGGACTAAAATACCCTAACTTAGGTGTTAAAATGCGTCACATTTGAACACTTATCATTAACTTTGCCTTCAATTGCAAAGTCCAAATCATGAAGGAAGATGAAGAAATCAAGCCTTGAAAGTGAGATTTAGAGAAAGAAAGCAAAATCTAAAGAGTAAGAGAGAAGCTCGGCTATGGAGGAAGAAAATTTGTAGAAAATGGACTCCTTTAGTCCTTTAGTATAAGCCTTGGTCAATGGTCGGTCCCACTTTGACCCACCAAATGTTTATAACACCTTTCCTTACGTATGTATACACTAAACATGCTATAATAGTACAATTAAGCACATAACCATATCATTATACATCATATAAAAATTTAAGAAATGCAAATGAACTCGGAAATAACCCCTAGCACAAAAAATCCGAGCGTGAGACCCACGCGGGACCTCCTGGCTCGAAAATCCGTAAAATGCTAAATCGACCCAGAATACATTTCTAAGAGTTCTAAATTCAAAAAAAATGTTCCAAACCACTCTCTGAACCCCTTGTGCACGCTAACCAATGCGTGATGCAAAACGAGGTGCAAAAAAATAAAATCGTCCAAAAAATCAAAAAATATCGAAAAAATAAAAAATTGCGAAACGTAACAAGATGCACTGTTCCATTCGTACATCCATGGATGCTTGCATGACTCTAAAGAATTTTCTTTCCCCATCTAATAAAACCTTGGAAGCTAAGTGTTACGAGGGAGACTTATCTCACATCGGATTCGGCTGGAAAATGAAATAAGTATAAATGCGCTAGGTATTAGCAATTTAGCACTTAATAGCTTAAGTTTGGGTTAGATTGCAAAGCACATACCCGTTACTGTTAGTATCAGAGATTTGGTGTCACGCTAAGTGCCCAGTCTGGATGTGGACATTGCAAGTTTGGGTGGGGAAGACTTATCCTACATCAAATTCGATTAAGTGTTAGCCCGCTTTTGAGTTTCTAAAGACAAAAAGGTGTCTAGTAGCGAGAGATTGTCTCACAATGCAATACTTTATGCACTCCTCCCACTGACGTACCATACTTAATCCTCCCACTCCATAAGAATAAGAACTTAAATTTGACCATTTTTTATGTTTTTTTTGTGGGCAAAAGTGCATAAAAAACCCTCAGAACTATCAAGAAAGAAAAAAATAAATCACTGAACTATCTTGAGTTATAAATTAAATCCTGAACTATTCAAAAGTTCGCAAATGAGTCCCTCCTGATCACTGTCAAAATCATCTAAATACCCACACTTATTAATTTATATAAAAATATATAAAATATCCTAAATCTCAAATACCTAGAATACCATTCAGGGGGCCATCTTGCAACTAAACAATAATTCTAATTCTGAATTTTTTTTTTGCTCTTTTGCCTAATAATAACAATATGAAAATTGATTGAAACCAATTTTAATTTTTACTTAACATTGAGACCAATTTTAATTTGTACTTGTAACTCTTTAGAGATTGATGTTAATGCGAAAGTCTCTTTAATAGTTTTATTTATAATAACATTCAACTTTTTATTGTATCAACGTAGATCAATCACTTGTCAAAGGTATAAAAAATATATAGATCAATGTGATCAGTTCAATATGACATGGTACCAATTTAACGGTAGGGTATGAGTTTTATTATCTCACTGTCCCCCAAAAAAGAGGGGGTAAAAAATGTTGAACTAGCTTCTTGCTAGAGTGTATATTAATCCGGCCAAAAATCTAATTGAAATTATGACACAAAAATTATGCGCACGTGTTTGTTTCCCGGGAAACTTGGGAGTTTTTTTTCCACAAAGTTGGATTTTGTTCGATCCATTTTGATGGGTTTTAACGGATCCATGTAGTCTAGGGGAGTTTGGGCTCAAGTCAGTGCCCAAAAAACAAAACCCACTAATAAAAATGTTCAAGAGACCCTGTTTTAAAGCTGCAAACAAAGAAACAATGTTCTAGCAGTTGCTCCAAAATTCTTCAACGGAAGATTCCAGTGATCGCAACACACTCAAAAAAGGTACCAAAACATCGTCTTCATTCCAATATAAATCTTCGAGTTGGCGAGTCCCGACTCCTCAAATGTTCATTTGCTATCATATTCGAGAAACTTTGAAGCCAGCCCCTGGGATTGCCACTCAGCTTCCTCAAGTACAGAGTAGCAGAATGACCACAGCAACTGCAAAACAAAAGCTAAATGAGAAAATAGTACTTGGAGGATTATGAATAAACAACAATTCGGACATTTAATGTTCTAGCAAGGTATATGACAGCAAGATTCTGGATTACATTTATTCTTCATCTACCAGGATGGTTGAATCATTGCCAATTCTGAGGTCAACCAATGATGCCATATCATCATCAAGCAATGTCGGTAACGGGGAAACCTGAGAATCCAAAGAAAAATTATTCATCAGCAGAGAGAATAATCTGGGTAGTGCATAACCTGAACTTTCTTAGTTCAGCAGCATTATGCAGTAATGGTTGAGTAAACATTCTCAGAGAATAGGTCCAAATGTTCTAATTGTCATCGTCTGCATATTTCTAAATGTCTGAACTACTCAATGAGAAACAACACAATTGGTCCAACAATACAGTTTAAAATCCCACAAAGCAATGATGATCACTATCGAAGGATGAAAATAGAACACAAAATCACACTATCTAAAACTATTAAACACCAGAATTTCAGGTTACTCTAGCATAATCAGATTTAAATACAAACCTCTTCCTGAAGAAACAATTTCGGCTTAATGAATTTTAGCTTGAAAAAGCTCTCACAAAGAATCTTCAGCTTGCCAACCTATAACAAAAGAAATTTTACTCATAATGCAACTTCTAAAACACATTCAAGCAGATTTGGGCTTTCCTAGAACAGGTAAAGACATATCACCGTGGTTGTTGCTGGCAGTTTTTTTGTTAATGGGAGTTTTTCACCAATGGATGCTCCCATGCATTTCAAAGTGACAGCTGCAAAAAGCGCATGTCAACTACAGGGACATTGATCTCATTAAACCTTAAAAAACTAATCACATAAATTAATATTTATACAAATTAGTCCTGCAGCCATTTTCTGAGGGCCTGCTGCTCTGGTTGATGCCTTTTCATCCTCAATTCCATGAAAACCTTTAAGCTCATCAAACCTGCAATTGATTTAAGCTAACACTAAGAGATAAAAACATTGATATTTCATTAGGAAAACAAATAATTGTACAGTATTAGAAATACATGTACGCCAATTAGTTGAGTGTAAAAGAGACTGAAAGGAATTACACAAGGTCTAACAAAGGAGAAATTAAAATGTAGGGAGCACAGGAATCACCAATAAAGTATCCCAACCTAATTTGATATCGTAACTGTGCACATTTCATATGTCGGAGCTAAAATGGTTTTATATCAAGATGTGACGTACCAAATTGTAAATGTTGTGCAGATTAATACTTAAATTAAATTTATAAATCATTCAATTTTATAATTTAATAAAGGACGGGTTGTTGGTCCCACCTTTGAATTAGGGTTTGCCCTTTCAAAGGTCAAAAAGTCTGTCACAGGTTCTCTACATTGAGTTCTAAGTGATTCTGGCATGAATAGTGCATATTATTGATCCTTAGGGGTAGCTTGGTCATTCCACAGTGTTAAGAAGACTATTCAAATGATCTAAGAAAGGTACATTGGCTTGAAGACTCACTCTGCAGGCCATTTATGGTTACAAGCCCTAGCACAAAAGTTGATATTTGGCTATAGAACATTTCAGGGGCAATTAGGTCTTTTCACACATGTATTATATCATAATACACTTGTATATGATGGTACATTGTACTGGGTTGCTTATATTCTCAAGTTGATCGAGTGATAACAGTCTCAGGTGCAGAAGGCAGTGTATATTGACAAGTGTCACTACAAGGGCATTTTGGTCAAAGTAAATTGCTGAGAATTCTTGTGACACGTGTCCTGTGGTCCTAGTGTGAGAATATGCATGCTGTCATTCTTTGCTTAGTGATTAAGCTTATTCTACATTCATATACTTTTACATACATATACTTTCATATAACAGCATATATATAGTACACCTTGAATGCTTTTACATACATTCATATACTTTTACATACACAAGGCTGTCAATGAGCATTCATGTTAGAAGATATTTTCTGTAAAGGTGGCAAGGGTATTATGGTACATTCACAGAGGGAATTACATATCATTTCGTGGCCAATGATTGGATAATGGTGGCACACACATTTCCTCCTTGAGATAGGATTTGTATTCAAGGTGTACTATCTATATGTTGTTATAACATTATTCTAGGGTTTTGTTTAAGCCTTAAAGAAAACCCTAAGGCAAGCTGAATTCAGAAAGAAAAGAGAGTTGAATATGAACACACATTTCTGAGATTATTTGTAAAGATCAAAGTTTGATTTAAGCTCAGAAATACACTCAGAGAATTCACAAGAGTAGATGATCAAATGAAGGCTTGTTTCTGGTGCAGAAGCTAGTTTGGAGGTCTAAGTTTGGTTTGAGCTTGCTGTGGTGTTGAGACAAGGTTGAGGCAAGTGTAACTTACTATTTTACATCTGCAGAAAGTATGTTTGTGACCATCTTTTAGCTGCATTTGATTTTGATGTCTCAGACCTGTGTATAAGCTTGTTTTACTAGTTTAGCTTGTTGATCTAAACTTATTATCACTATATCTTGCTATGAGTTGCATTATTATCATCTGAGCAAGTTTCTATAGTTGAATCAAGGTCGTTGAACTTGAGGTTTGCACAGAAATAAGGTCAATACAGAATTTGACCTTTGTGAAACCCTAGTTCTTGAAGGTTCTGCAGAACTGAGCCAATATATAAGTTATAATTGTGTATTCATGTTGTATTCATCCTGATTATCATCTGAGCATGTCTGTAGTGAAGATACAAGGTTGTGGATTTCATCTCTAAGTTTGTGGGACATGAAATTCCTATGTTACCCCTCAAACCCTAGTTTCAACATAATGAAGAACGGTGTTTTAATTGACACTTTGAGCTGATTATTCACACTTATCTTGTGTAATAGCTCAAGTATTGTTGTACTACATCTATTTATATGTATTTGGTGAGTTGTGAGAGCTTGCAAGGTCCAAGCAGGGTTGCAGAGTGCACTTAGTGGTGCTAGTGAGTGTGTAGAGGTTCTGAAAGCTAGTGTTTCATCTTGTACAAGGGTGTATGCAGCGAGTGAGACAGCTGAGTGTGTAACTACTTGCATACAACTAGTGGAGATTTTATTGGCTAAAGCCAAGAACCAAGGTTTTTCCCTATTGAGAAGGTTTTTCTTGTAATTACACTGAGTACTTATAAGTGTGTGTAAGCTTGTTGAATCTGTCATCATCTTCATCCACATTGTATTGATCAAACAAAGAACAAAAGTTTATACAAGAACCAATTCATCCCCTCCCCCCTCCCCCCTCCCCTTGGTTCATCAATTGGTATCAGAGCTTTGGTTTACCTTTTTGAGGTTTTAACCAACCTGCAGAAGTTCTTGTGCAATGGAAGAAGGTAAGGTTACAAACAAAGCACTTGGTTTTGATGGGTCCAATTATGATTAATGGAAAACAAGGATGGAAGCTTTTCTCATGTATCAGTCTTATGATGTATGGCATGCAACTAACTATGGTTTTGTGATTCTCAATCCAAACAACCCCAAAGCAGATGATAAAACTGCTCTAGCAAATGATGGAAGAGCAAGGCATGATCTCTTATGTGCTCTCAAGCAACAAGAGTTCACAAGGATCAAGAATTGCAGGACAACTAAAGAAATGTGGGATTCTCTCAAGGCTGCTCATGAAGGGAATAATGTTATCAAGGAGAACAAGATACAACTTCTCAAGGTTCAATATGAAGGCTGCAAAATGGAAGAAAGGGAAGCTGTTTCAAAGTACTTATTTAGGATCAATGAAATTGTGAACAACATGAAAGCTCTTAGTGAAGAGGTAAAAGACACTGAAGTGTGCAAGAAGATCTTAAGGACCTTAACTTCAAGGTTCAATGCTAAGGTCACTATTCTCGAAGGCAAAGACCTCTCTCAAATGAAAATTGATGATCTTCAAGCTTCACTCACAGCATATGAGATAAGAATTGGTCCACCTACACAACACAGAGTAGAAGCAGCACTTAAGGCCAAAGAAGTGGTTGAGGATGCTGAACCTAAGTTTGAAGATGATGATCTTTGTTGTACAGTATTGTATGAGTTGTCACATGTGTACAATTAGTATTGGATGAGTTGTCACCTCCCCCTCATTACCATATATAGAATTACAATGTATAAGGTTTTCTTGTTCTCCACTCACCTACTCCCGTAGCTTCTCCTATATAAACACCATTGTATTATCGTATTACTTACTCAATAACATATAAGTTTTCATATATTCTCTCTCTCTCTCTCTTTCAACATGATATTAGAGCGGAAATCGATCCCTCTTAAAATTTTTTTTTTCAATCGTATTCAGACTCCGATCTATGGATCAACTCGTCTCGGATCTTCGGATCAACTCGTCTCGGATCTTTGCAACTCATTTCGAACTCTCAACAACTTCGTACTTAGTTTCAAGTTGGACACTTGAGTTAAAATCTCCGTATACCAACTTGAGCAATCTCTCTCGGATCCCTCCTCGGCTCTCTCCTCGATAATTTCTCTCGGGTTCATCTCGGCTAGATCTTCGTTCTTTTCTCCTTTCCGTGTGTCTTTAAGGATCTCAAGATGAAGAAGACGATTGGTGGGAGGTCTGAGAAGGATGGTCTTTACTACGAGTCTACTTCTAGCCAGCTACTGTTCCGACAACTCTACATTCCACCTCTTCTTCAGCTTACCAACGGCATTGCCGCCTTGGACATCCCTCTTCAAATAGTCTTCGAGCCTTGGTCCCTTCTTTAGTTGATTTTTCGAAATTTAATTGTACTACTTGCGAACTTAGTAAACATCGTCGGGCTACTTTTAAGTCTCGTTTTCATAAAAGTTTAAAACCTTTTCAGTTAGTACATTCGGATGTTTGGGGACCAACTCGTACTACTGGTTTATTTGGAGCTCATTATTTTGTGTCCTTTATTGATGATTATTCACGTTTAACTTGGGTTTATATTCTTAAAGATAGATCTCTGAAATTCAAAATCAGCTTGATGCAAAATTACTTGTTATTAAAACTGACAATGCCCTTGAATATAAACTTAATGTTTTTCAAAAGTTTCTTGAGTCAAGGGGCATTATCCATCACACATCTTATGTTGATACCCCTCAACAAAATGGAGTTGCTGAATGGAAGAATGGCCTACTCCTAGCTATCGCTCGAGCCTTAACAATTCAAATGCATGTTCCAAATCAATTCAAATGCATGTTCCAAAACAATTCATGTAAAGGATATACATGTTCCAATTACCCCACCCCACCCCCCCAAAACACTACATAAAGGGTTTAGATACCAATAGACATTGTCTTGAGCTATCATATTGAAATCGGGGTCTGAGGAACCTTGTGTGTATAGGGTTAAGAATGTCAGTTCTAAAATAGTGCAGGTCGAAGGGGTACACATGTTTTTCATGTACTAGTACATAGTAAAAACTAAAGATCCAGAGAGTTGAGAACAAGTATATCTTTACACTTGCACCGGAACAAAGCACTATCTAAAAATTCAAAGAGTTATGCACAGGTACACTTTTTGACTTACACCGGTACAACTTTGTCTTGAGAGATATGGGTTATAAATCTATTGATTTGCAATGGTATATTTCCAAGCCACGACATTGAAGTATGTCTAATAACCAATTTAAATCTATTTGTATTTTACAAATAATTATTTGTAATATTGAATTTTGCATTAGGCTTTTAAAAGGAAGACTAAAGCAGGAGAGGATGGTGCTCTAATACCAATTGATATAGAACCTCAAATAATTTGTTGCAGAATAAGAAAGCATGGGACGAGAAATAAGAAGATGAAATGACGCTAGAGAAATGGGATGAAAAAAATACGTATAAAAAAAAAAGGGAAATGGGATGAAAAAATAGAAGGGATGAGATGCAGATTGAAATGATAGACCAGACAAAGAGAGGGAAGTTTGAATTATTTGGTTATATAAGACCAAAACATAGGCAACCCCTAAAATAAGAATACCCCTAAAAA